TTTTTATTTGACCTTGAAGGTCAAAGATCAAGGTCATCATCCATGGTACGTGACACATGATATTGAGGTGCTGCACTTGTGTGTCAAGTATGAAAAGACTTTGTCAAGGGTGAAGAAAAGACTTTATCGTAGGAGAGGAAAAGGTATCAAGTGTTTTTACCTTGAGGTCAAAGGTCAAGGTCATTTGACGGTTTGAATTTTTATGAGATACACTGTCTTATTGTAATACACTTTCATGCCAAATAGCATAAGCCAGTGTCAAAAGATAAATAAGTTTTCATGATTAAATACACGGATTATTGTGAAAAATATGTGAAAATTACTTTTTTATTCCGTTGCCATGGTAACGGTGTAGGAGACCCCAGCTCAAAAATCATAAAACTTGTAGCACACATGTAAACCTTTATAGAAAGATTTTCTGTCTTTTTGTTGACCTTTTTAGGAAGTATCCAAAATATGTCCAAAATGCCCATTTTAGACCGGTCAGCCCCAAAATATAGCTATACTCAAGCAAAAACATTTTGTCAAGTTTCGAATGACGAATGATGCTTGTTATAAAAATCAACTCAAATATCAGCTAAACATAACCATATCTAGCATATTCAGAGTAACAAAATTGTGACATTTTTGTGGAAATTTTGGGAAATTAAGCCTTTTCCAATAGATGGCGCTGCAAAATCTAAAATAAGCCTTAAATCAAATTTTAAAGCTAGTTTTTTTTTCTCTTGACTATCATGACATATGTGCAAAATTTCATTACATTTGGTTGACATGTCATGTGGACCCACTTATAAGCCTTTTGCATGGTTCTATCAAAGACTGGGTGTTTAGATTATACGTTTACATTCCAAGTATTCGAGCTCACTTTTTGAAAGTTGATAGTCACTTCTTTTTAATTTCAAAATATACAAACAATTGACGATAAACAGTACAATTATACAATTATATATAATTGGCTTATAACCGATTTAGTTCCTCATTGAAATAAGTCAGTATAAACATTTGCTCTACAATTTTCCTTCTCTTTAAAATGTAAACTCAAAACAGTGACAATATATTTCCCAAGTCAGATGTTTTATTTTAGATAATCATGACAATAGGACATTTTTGTGTAATTACGCAATTTTTAGAAAACTAATGATAAGAAACACAAACTCACACATGTATTTTAAAATTTTGTATTATGATTAAGGCTCTGTTTCATGATATCACAAAACAATTCAAAAAGTCTAAATATATGAACCTAAATGTAATATATATTTTTAAAAATTATAATGGGTCAGGTATAGTAAGTTTACTGGCCATGAACTTATTATTGGAATTTAGTTTGAAGTTTTAACCAATTTAAAACATGTAACAGAGAATGAAATCACTTCGAGAATGGTATTCAGATGTGTAATAGAGTTTTAAAAAAAATATTTTATTATGCTTCGTTCACTCATCGCATTTCCGTTTATTATCTCAAGGATTAAGAAAAAAAAACAACATCAGAGATAATAGGCCTTTAATTTGTTACTACATGAGACTCATCAGTTGCGCCCGGTTATATAATGTAAATAACAAATAAAAAAAATCCTATTTTCTATCTAGTCATTATTTTAGTCTATGAGTTATATTTGTAATAGGCAATTGATCCTAATTTTAGATCTTACAAAAAACATGCCGCTAGAAATAACAGCCATATTTGGACTTTATCGAATCTACCCTTATTTTGTTATAAAAATATAACCCAGAATAAAAAGATTTTGAAAAGATTGATTATCATGTGGCGTTTTATAATTTTGTCCACTAACATATATAGTATAGGGAACTCTACTTTAATCTATGTACTTCAATTATTTATGCTTAATCGTCTACTCGTCACAATGGAATATGCATTGACCCTTAAGACAGCCAGCATGACTGCTTACCTTTTTTTAAATTCCAGTTGATTTGAAAAAAATATTTTTGTTATTTTCAATATTGTGTACTAAAAAAGTGTTTTTACAATATCTTGACCGCTTCTCACAATTTAGCCATTAAAACATAGTATGAAGAGAGGTAAAAGTTCTCTTCTATAAAAAATAGGCAAAGTTAATATTTTGTAATTAAGAAATAATTTTTTCAATAAACAAAATGATGTGATTTTACGGAAGACGTAAAGCATAACGAATTACAGTCAGGGTTATATAAAACATAAATACATACCACTTATAAATAAATACTATTTTCAATTAGATAAAAAAAAAACACTTTACACGATAGTAAAAAATATTAATATCTCAGACTTTGTTTAAACAAAACTTCCTGAAAACATTATTTTCAGTGGTAAACATTAAACTTATTTAGATTTCATGAGCTGACACGTAATATGTTGATCTAGAAAAAGTATCCAGCCATAACGAATATTATTCTTTTGTGTGTATTGTATACATATTCACTGAAGTAAAAAATAAAATTCGTTCACTATTATGTCTTGTTTACTTCAATTAAAGTCAAATTGGTCAATAGGGAAGGACTATTTATTCTTGCAAGCTAATCTTTAGCTTAAATCTATCAAAACATATATCTTGCTACTCATTTCATCCATTAATTTGTTAATTCGTGTTTTATGTTTATATCTCTGTATTTTAATTTGTCAGTTGTTAAAAGTAACCATGAAAAGACATTAACAAACAAGAGCTTAAAAATTAAGCTTTTTGGCAATATAATTTTTCATCCATGTTAAAATGATAACAGGTGACTAGGACATATCATCAACATTTGATTGTAACATCCGGTAATTAGTGATGATGTATAAAGATAAACGAGAAAGGGGAAGGTCTGATCAGAGCTACTATATGGCTTCTAAAAATTGCCAATAGCACACTTCTTCAATTTTTATTTAAGTGTATGTCAGATTTACTGATAAATAGATAGGTTGATATTATCTGAACACACCGTTATGAAAAGTCCGTAAAAATGTTTGACATCGGAATTATGATATATACACAGAAACGTAATGAAACCACTATAAGCACCACCGTTTGATTGATTTATCGTTTTCATGGTACCCAATGCAAACCTTAGACCGGGAAGCATATCGAGTAATTTCTAGCTTTTTGGGTTGTATGGATGAAAACCTACAAACTCCGAAACATCGAAAAGGTACTCCTTGCTACGCTTCGTTGACTAAATCAGCGCATTTTCATCAAAAGGAAAACAGCCCGTTGGAATATGCACGCAAATTTAACTGACAGGTCCTTAATCTTAAGGCTGTTTAAGTGTATATAAACTTTATTAGATTAAGAAGCCCAGACATTAAAATCCTTGCGATTATGGTCCGTAACTGCTCTACCAGAAATGAAACTTTGGTCTTCAAGAAGAAAATCTGCTTATTCGTTCAGAGCCCCTGCTATCAACACTAGTTTTGATTGAGGTTCGTGTTAATCAGTCTTTAGATTTCAGATGCACATTTCGACAATTGATGTCTCTTTACTGATTCTCCATGACACAGTATTTCAAAATTTGAAACCGTTTACAAATGCTCAAGATCTAGAGCTGATATAACGAGAAAGGATCAAAACAGAAAAGTCAAATCCGGACAAAGTTTATTTTCTGTTAGTTTCTTTTGGTATTTCTTGAAGATTTTAAATACAAAATTAATTATAACATTTTTATAGTTTGTTCTTATGTTGTGCTGTAACACCACTGTTCCAGGTTAGGGGTGGTTGAAAGCTCACAAATATGTTTAACCCCGCCACATTCTTTATGTGCTTGTCCCAAGTTAGGAGCCTGTAGTTCAGTGGTTGTCGTTGGTTCATGTCTGTCATATTTGTTTTTTGTAAATTATTTTGATATAAATTAGGCTCAATTGATTTTTTTTTCATATTTTTCATGTCGGGGCCTTTTATAGCTGACTATACGGTATGTGTTTTTCTCATTGTTAAAGGCCGTACGGTTGCCTATAATTGCTGACATCCACTTCATTTGAACTTTGGTGGATAGTTGTCTCATTGGCAATCATACCACATCTCCTTATTTTTATAAAAAGTTACTATATTTTAACTATTACATTTTAAGGTTGCATTTGACATTTAAACGGTTTGCTACTTGTGAATATGTTTCATTTAGAATGTAATTATGAAACAGAAACTAAATGAAATCGTCCTGCTTATAAAAGAGCACTTGGTTGTTTCTATAATTCTAAAGGTCTTATGTATTGCATGTATCTCAATCTACATGAAGTATTTTATTTTTTAAAACAGTCTATTTCTTTTTATAAAGGTTTGCCCCTTCTACGCGTTTATTGTAAATGGACAGACATTTTGGGGGTTATTTACTACTTGGTTTTAAACTCGAGGCGATTTAGTGAGAGCTTGACATAGACACTATTGTTGAAGACTGGCTATTGATATCTTAATGTCTTTTAGTTCTTTTGTGTTGTTTGGTTGACGTCTAAATGGCGTTTACACCAACCATTTTTTTTTTTTCAACTCGTATACATGTATTGCAAGATTTTCTTTTCAATAAGTCTTACTTCTTTACTGCAATATGTCTCCGTTATTTAAAAAAAAAAACTATGATTTTCTAACTTTAATTGTTTTCAGGTTTCCTCCTACTCAGATTTAATGAAACCATATTTTTAGAAAAAAGTATACAAAAAATCTGTAGATCCTGTCTCTACATCATATTATCATAAGGTCAATCATTAGGTGATCATCGTACACATGGAAATCAATTAATACGTTGTTTTTTTCACGGTTATTTCGGATTCCTTTCGAAATGAAAAGAAAGGTATCTTTTGAACTATATCAAATAAACAGAAAGTCAAAAATAGGTTTTTTTCCCGTTGAAATGAAATGACTACAAAATCTATACATAAATAATTGAGTTCTGGAAAGATAAGCATGATACAATTCTGCCATATCATCCAGGATATATAAATAAAAAACTTCTTTATAAAATCATCTCTGTATAATCTAATGCATGTAATGTGCAATGATCCGCTGAGCTATATAATTAAGAATTCACATTAAAAAATTCATCAGTGTAAACGGTTTTCTCATTTTCTCGGTTTAGGATATAATGTCAATACTTGGAGCATACGTTCAGTGGTACTCGTAAATATAGTAGGTCTATTTTTTATTGTTGCTTAATATATAATTGATGAATGATTTGTTTTTCATGTTTATATTGAATAAAAAAATAAGAAGATGTGGTATGATTGCCAATGAGACATCTCTCCACCAGAGACCAAAGGATGTAAAATTAACAACTATAGGTCACTGTACTGCCTTCAACAATGAGCAAAACCAATACAGCATAGCCAGCTGACAAATGTAATACAATTCAAACGAGAAAACTAACGGCCTGATTAATGTACATGTACAAAACAATGAACGAAAAACAAATATGATATACAGCAACAAACGACAACCACTGAATTACAGGCTACTGACTTTGGACATGCACATACAGAATGTGACGAGGTTTAACTAGTTTGTTGGCCCCAAACCCTCCCCCTAACGTGTGACAGTGGTATAATAGTACAACATAAGAACAAAGTCCACTCTATACGGGTTATTGAAAAAATGTCGACGGTGATGGCACAACTGAGCGCTACACAACGTTCCCAATAAAAAGATGAGTTTGACGTTGTTCAAAAGAACGTTTCAATCGAAAAATATTTCACTATTGTAAAAATGTCGCTTAATGTGAACGTAGCATTTACATTCTTTTTTGTAGGTAATTTCGAAATTGCTTCATTAGATATTTTCATTTTTCCAACCCGCGGTGGGCATTAATAAATGCAAACGTTGATATCCAAATTTCCATAGAGTTGAAGAGGTATATATAGTAAGTGTTGCATTTAAACATTCTATTTTTACCGCTTTTTTTCTTGTATTTTCAACCAAGATGAGATAAACAAGAACATTCACAATTTGCATGCAGATTCAAGTTCCTTTAATTTATAACTTACATATTCTAATTCTAAAGATTGTCCCAGTAGATTCTTAACACATACTACTAACTGCCACGATTATAATCAGCACAGTATTTTTCATTGATGTAATTCTTCAAACATTATTAATTTAGTTTTTTCCGGTATAAATGAAATGACTACACAATCTATTCATCAATAATAGTGTTCCGGAAGGATAAGCATTATACAAATAGGACATATCATCAAGGATATATGGAAACACACATCTTTTATATAATGAATTTTGTATAATATAAAAGTGCAAATGATCCTATGAGCTATAAAATCAAATCTCTTGATATAAAAGTGCAGTGATGCACTGAGCGACATATTTAAGAAACCACATTAGAATAAATCACCATTGTAAACAAACCTCCTTGTAATAAAGTTAACTTATAAGCCTTTAGAATAGTGACAATATTTGCAGCATACATTCAGTAGTACTCGAACATATAGTAGGTTTATTTCTAATTGTTGCTTAATGCAAAGTTGATATATATCATTTGTATCAAGTCCGCTCTATAGGGTTCACTTACTCTGTAGATTATATTTGTTATGAAAAATCCCCTTTTAATCTTTTAAAAGAAGGGTTGTAGTATTTATGAATTTTTACACCAATAATAAACATGATTTACGATATTTGATATGAAATTAGAATATATATTTTCTTTCGTTTTCTTAACTTATGTGCAAACAATATAAGGGTACTATATTTTGTTGATTTATCTTAAATCTATTAAATGTATTATTTTAGTGTATAAGTCTAAGTATTTTATTAATAACAGTTTACTGAAACAAAAAAAATACACATTTTCTTTGTATACGTATTTACCCTGTAAACTTGTATGCAAATTTGTCTGCTATCACTTTAATTCACACTTTCCCGCAAAACTTTCCTGCACAATTTAAAACAATGTGACGTCATTATTAAAGAGTGATTGTTTGATGCGTCAAAATGTCATTCGGAGACAATTTGGCTATAAACCTAAAAGTGTAAACACGTCTATTCTTCAATATAATATTTTTGAAATCGATGGAAAAGATACGATTTGGAGCTTTTTTGAGCCTGTTAATTGTTCGAAAATAAAATAACTGGATGATACAATTATCATTTTTCATTTTTAACTTACTAATGAAAATGACAATATTAGCTAACGTAAAGTCTAGATGACGCAATTTGATTGTGAGGTCATTTAATTGACACAGGCATTAGATGCACTTCATGTGTGCATATCTTTTGGGATGCTTGTGTATTATTTCTTATCATCTGTGTGTCAAATTGACAAACTTTTTGGTAAATTCGACATTTCACTGATTTTACTGTCTTCACTGTCCATAATTTTAATTAAAGTAAAGAGTTTTAACATTCCATTCTGTAAACTAAGACAATTTCAGATACAATTGGGCCCAAAATCGTACATTGTTCTTAAATCGGGATACATCATACATGAATTTCTGTCCACTCTGATACCGATAATATATATATAAACCGTGTATTTATTTCTTCCTTTTAATATAATATTTTTCTGTGACGATTTCAAATGTTCGCAACGTTTAAGAAATTTCTCAGTGATCTGCTATCAAAATATTGCAATGCAAAGACGAAATTCAAAGTTCACACACAAAGGGCGTACACCCCACCCCATTGATTGGAAAATGTATCACTGTTTAGCATTAAATCGTCCAAACAAATTTTTGCCTCGCTCACCTTCGCAATTTATATTTAGTTTTAGAGAACCACCCTTTTAAAGATCCTAGATCCGCCCCGGCGTAATTTCTTCCTGCTGAATGTTTATTATGAGTATCAGCATAAAAACTAAAAATCGCAGAATGTCAGTCTTCAACAAACAATGGCAAATAGTCATATCATATAAAGTCTGAAATATATTTGTTTATTCAAATTGTTCTTTCTCTCTTGCAGTCACAGAAAAATGGTTTCGAAAATTTTAATGATCAGTTTTATATTGATGCTGATAGCTTTGATTGTATATGTGATTGGCTTTTCAACTTCACATTTTATTGAAATTGGGCAATCATCTTTCAAGAATTACTACGTTGGACTATGGGTAATCTGTAGAACTTTTCTCTCGATAAAAGATCTGACGACATGCCTGGATACAGTTGAGTCCTTAGGAGACAGAGGTACTATACTTACAGCTTAATTCTGTATGTTATATGTATACTGGTAAAAAACGCAATATCATATATAAAATGCTTGCTTGTTGAATCGACTAATAATTTTTCAATAGAATGGCAAGGACTCAATCATTTCAGCTGACATAAATCGCAAACAATTATGTAAAATACAGGTAAATACATTATAATTATCATTCATTGAAACGAATGGTATAACATACAGTTATGGCTTTTCAGCAAAAGTTGAATATAACTCTACTTCATACTTTATTTGTTACCGGTCACGGACAAATCTAAATGTTGAGAGTTTTCAAGTGTTTCTCGCAAAAAGAAGCATTCTTCGTTTTAAAGTGGTATGGAAGGTCTTTACTCATCTTTGTGCAAATAATCAGAGAAAATTCGGTCTAGATTTTTAATGAAATAGGCAAACTTGTAGACAGAAATGCAAGTCATTTGTTTTTAAACTTCGTTTAAGTAGAAAATTGTGTAGTTTCGTCTTATATTGACGAAAGTTTTTTTTTTATAAATTCAGAATGTCGTTTGATTAATTAAAAACTGTTAAACTTATAGCCTCATAGGGGACGTACATGTAGCTTAGATGATTATATTTATAAAGGAATGTACGGAAGCTATTGATATGTCGTATTATTCAAGAAAAAAAGCTAACTTCAAATGTTATTTTTTCAAAATTTTGTCATTTCTTTTCTTTTTTACATAATAATATTTATTCCCTGTATAATTTTAAAATAATTATCAAACTCAGACCTTAATTTGAATAAAAAATGTACGTTTTTACACCATGGTTGTGCTATTTAGAACCAGAAATAAACACAGCATGGTTAAGGGATTGCAGAGCAACAAGTATCCTCGGGCTTCTTTTCCTTTTTGCTGCGATCATTTGTGCTGGTTTGAAACTGTTTGCTTTCAAGGGAAAGAAACGTGTCCTCCTAGCTGCTATTGGAATGACATTTGCCGCTGGTAAGTTTTTCATTCAATACATTTTGACAATAATCTGTTGTGTGAAGACAACATTTTTTGTTTAAAAAACGTCAAGCTCTAAGCAACATTCTTTTACGGATCGATTTTTTTTATAACTTATGCATGTTATTTGAAAGTTATACGGATGTCATCATACTTAGATTGACCGTTGTGGAATATCTGTCAGAATATTTTCAATTTTTCGTATCAAGACAACAGTACGGTTCTCTTTTTTCTTTGATTGCGATATCATCGAAATTTACTTTCGATTGGCAACATTGCTGGTCCAATAAGTTAAAATACCAAGTGAGCTTTTCTCATCGATTGTTGTCCGTTGTCCGTCGTCGTCCGTTAACTTTCACAAAAATCTACCCCTCTGAAACTACTGGGCGAAATTTAACCATACTTGGCCACAATCATTATTAGGGTATCTAGCCTTTTAAAACATGTTTCTGGTGACCCCGCTTGTCAACCAAGATTGCCGAAATGACTAAAAATAGAACATATGAATAAAATGCAAGTTTTGCCTATTATTTCAAAAACCTCTTCAAATAGAGAAAATCTGACAGATTAAAAAATATTCAGAATATTGAGCTCTACCTATTGTTCAATTAAGTCAAAACTGTCAGACGACTTCTTATTGGAGTTATTGCCCTTAAATGAAAAAAATTATCATTTCTAAAATTTTTGCCTATTATCTCGATAGTTATAATAGAAACTTTTAAAAAAGCAAAAATTAACAGCAAGACAAGATCTACAAGTAAATCAACATGACCAAAATCGTCAGACGACTCCTTATTAGAGTTATTGCCCTTAAAAGACGATTTTTACCAATTGTTTGCGTAATTGCCTAATATCTTATAAAATATAATAGATAGATAGAATCTATCAAAGCAAAAATGGTCAGCTCAACAGGATCTCCAAATAAGTCAACAAAGCCGAAATCTTCATTATTAGAGTTATGACAAAAATTTCAGTTCACTCTTAATAGAGTTATTCCCCTTTAATGGCGTTTTTTTACTAAAAAAAGTGGCAATTGTTGAAGATGCAGGTGAGCGACACCGGCTCTTAAGAGCCTCTAGTTATATTAAAACACACTGAAAAGGACGAGACTATAAGTCAGATAATATTTTTTTATGCAGATTACTATTTATTATTATAATTTTGTTATTCTTTTCTGGTCTTTTGTAGATGTATTTGGGAAATCATGCCGATTTACGCTCTATTTTCAGTAGCTATATAACATAGACGATAATGTTCAGGATTATCATTATACGGGATGTTAGGGTCACCGATTCATATTAACATGATTAAGAATATTCCGAAAGTGCGTACATTATATTGCATTCATCGCACTAGACTTCATTTTACATTTTAGTTAATACCTTCCCGTTTGCAATTCACAAGGCAATTTTAGATTTTGTAATATGTAGGGATCCCAAGTTTGGTTCCCTGGACAATTTATGGTTTATGTAACAGTTGTTTATTAATAAGATATGTATTTAATTGAAAAAAATGAAATAATACTTCAGTGTCAGTTCATGCAATGCATTCAGTCAAAAGGTGTTCTACAAGTATCACCAGTCCTTCACTTTTCATTTGATACATAAATTACCATAACATATTCTGCATAGTTTGAATTTAACACCTATGCATAAGAACTATCAAACCGATGCTAGGGGTCGTCTTAAACTTGCAGTGAGGTGCTTTCGTTTTTTGTTTTTTTTTGTTCCGTGTTGAAGGCCTCACTAACTTTGAGATAAAGAACAGCAATAAAAGCGCTGCTCTGCTTTAAATGTTTTTTTGTGGTGCATATACAGATTTTGTAGCATGGATGGACACCCTATGTCATTTCTTTTCTATTCTAAATATTGAATACTACAAAAGAAGGCAAGCTAAATAATCATGAAACAAGCTTGATTGTCTGTTTAAAATGATATCAGAATCATATCATATACAGTTTTTTGCATGCATAGCAGGAAACGCTTACCTAGTATCACTCCTTTGGATTTCAGGCGATTCCCTCAAATTTTGTTTGCTACCTAGATTTGCATCTTCTTGATTAATTTATGACATTTGCACATCGGTTAACTGTTGCTGTCTTACTTTATTCGTTCTGTATTTTTGGGTTTTATACACTTTTCCATCATAGAAAATCAACCTTTTTCCAAACAAAAATCAGCTCAAATTATGTTCGGCGGCTGATATTGTACGATATCTTTATACAGAAAATCCGATAATCTGTCTATCGCACAATTTCTGAGCCAATTTCTCTCCCTTGAACTGTTTTACGATTGGTTATACTGACGAAAATATTTTAGTCTTAGATACATGATTCTTTTTTATTAGCTGTTACTTTGAACAAGTTGTCAGTATAACTGCGAGTACTCTCAGATCTGTACTTATTGTCATTTTTGTTGTGGGGATGTATAAATACCCTTCCCACAACCGGTCTGTGTTTTTGTTACTTGTTTTCTGCTTTGTATCGATCTAATGAGTAAAGCCCTTTTCAACTGGTTTTATAGTTTGTTTATATGTTGTGATGTTACACTGCTGTCCCAGGTTAGGGGATGGTTGGGCGTCCGAAAACATGTTTAACCCCGGCTCATTCTGTATGTGCCTGTCCCAAGTCAGGAACCTGTAATTCAGTGGTTGTCGGTTGTTACTGTATATCATATTTGTTTTTCGTTGATTATTTTTTACATACATCATGCCGTTAATTTTCTTATTTGAATTCTTTTACATTTGGTGACCTTTTATAGCTGACTATGCAATATGGGTTTTGCTCATTGTTGAAGGCCATACGGTGACCTTCAGTTGTTAACCTCTATGTCATTTGGTCTCTGGTGGAGAGTTGCAATCATATCATTGAACTTTTTTTTGAAATTATGACATCGCTGATACTTATCCATTGCTATCCTCACGTATTGTGTCGTTCTCTCCGCCTTTCTAAGCAGTTGTGTATTTTCAAATCATTCTGGCCACCTCCCCATCTCCCTACCCAGGTGTTAATGTTTTGTCATGAAGTGAATATGCCGTTAATGGATGATTTTGTATAATTAAGAGCCTGACATATTGTATGTGTAAGACATTCCCTGGATTACCAAAATATAACTCATAAATAGTTCATAAATATAATAGACAACTGATATACTTAACCTTTTATTTCTTTATTTCAGTGGTGTTCATTCTTACCGCTGCAATAATTTTCTCACAGAATGATGAAGACTTTTTTGTTGCATTTAGATTACCTTTCGACTATGGCTATTCGTTTGCTTTAACAATTGTCGGAATGTGTATAGCTGTAATTGCTGGTGTATTCATGGTTGTTGATTATAATACTGGCTTACATGTAGCAGATGGACAAGTGGCAGATTATTAAATGCAATATGTTTTATACTGCAAATCCAAACGATCATTTATTTAAAAGAAATTGTTATTAAGATATGCATTTTAAAACTGAATACATCTGACAAAACCATGATAATAAAACAATGTAATAAAACAATGTATTAAGATAATTATATAAAAGTGATAGAAAGTGAAAGAAAATTCGGACATAAAATTTCTTAAAAGGCTGACTTTAGATGACACTGTTCCGTCATATTAATATTTTGTTATTCCGGTATTATATTAAACAAATGTACACATTTAATAGTTTGTAGTATATTTTCAAATTTATCTTCGAATATATTATCTTACAAACAAAACGTGTTCGATGAAAACACCTTTTGAATTCTATCAAATAAACAGGAAGCAAAAAATAGAATGATGATCAGATTTTTGCTTTAAAACAACAGCAAATATAATACAAAATGCATAATTAAAGCTTTAATTATATATTGTCATAGCAGATTCTTAATCTTATCACACACTATAAAGCCAATAACTGGCACGATTCCACTCAGCACAGTACTTTTCCATTCATGTAATTATCCAAACATTATGATTAGTTTTTTTCCCGTTTAAATGAAATGACTACAAAATCTATTTATAAGTAATTGAGTTCCGGAAAGATAACCTTTATA